ATGGCGACGATCTGCGAACCTGGGTCGACGATGCATTCGATCTGCTCTTTGTTGTCGATCAAAGCGATGATCGAGCGAATCGCGTTCGAATCGCGCGCGACGGTAAATTCCGCGGGGTGCTCGCCATGAGGGATGTGCTTCAGATAGGTTTCATAGGGGTCGGGGACGATTGTAGCACCGGGTTCCAACGTTGCTCCTGAACACGAGAGCTGGTTGACGGCCGTGACCTCGTCGGCGCCGATTTCTACGATGTGGGCCGACGCGACGGGTTCCGTCGAGACTCGCTTAGGGGTGACGGCGTCGCGGTACTTGGTTCGAACGTCTGGCGCGATCGAAAGCAACTCTTCCGGGGTCAGCGTGACGAACTGCGACTTCATCGAATGCTGGAAGATTTCCTCGGCGAGCTTCGGCTGGATAACGGGGACGATGGTCTTGTACGCTGGTTCCTTGCCCTTGTCGTTCGAGGGCTTCGGCGGAGTTGCGAAGTTTCGAACGTTCGGTGGGGCGTAGGTTGCGTCGCGAGCATTTGCGAAGGGGTGTACTGGTGGTGCTGGGGGAGCGGACTTAGTAATAGGATGAGACGTGGATTGTGTAGACGAGGAGGAAGACGCCGTGGGTGCTGCTGCTGGTATCGTCGGAGGCGGGGCCGTGCTTGTCGAAGTACTCGAGGGCGCCGCCACTCCTTTCGATGTACCAGATCCCGAGGCTTCCGCGCTCTTCGGGACGGCTGTCGTCGTAGGCTTCTTCCGCTGTAGAATCTCGACGCCGTCGAAGACCTCCCTTCGCTTCCGAAGCTGAAGGAGTTCTCGCTCGAGCGCCTCGATCCTGCCGCTAGTGTTGAGCGTGAACGTTTGCACAGTCGAGCGATCGTCGATCTCGAAGAGCATCGTTGGAGCGGCGGGTGCTGCGGGATTTCTTCTATGCCACTCGTAAATTCGATCTCGTATTGTGAGACCTGGGATAGTGCGGGGGCAGAAACTTCCGTTTGGAAGGACGATCTTGCCTTCGGTGTTACGCTTGCACTTGCCGTCCCGAATGTCGATCTCTGCGAACTCGCAGGTGCCTACCCTGCAGCCACGATTGCCGCAGTAATGGCATGTCTGTTCAGCTCCGCTGTTCTCATGGACGTGGACGGCAGCTTGTTGTCTTGGTGCGGGGGCGTGGTTGTGCGTAGCGTGCGTCGTCGGCTGAATGAGCGTCGCGATCGTCCTTGACAGGCTTTCGATGATCATCGAGATGTCTTCGGTTTTGATCATCCCGGGGGGCACCGTTGTCGAAGTGTTCGACGTAGAAGCGGTAGCTTGGTTAGCCGCTGTTGTAGGTGTGCTCGATGTACCGTGTAAAATGAAAGTAGCCGCCGCATGAATCTCTGCCATGGTGTATGGGTCGTCGGCGTAGTGATCGGGATGCTTGAGATGCAGTCGGGTCTCGAGCCGTGTGAGCAACGCTGGCTGGAAACCTCGAAGAAATGCGCGACTTTGTTCGATAGTGGATAGCCGGTGCTGTGCGATGAGATGTTTCGTAATGGCCATGAAGTCGCGGTAGTAGCAGCCTAGGTCTGCCGCATTGTGAATCCCGATACGAGCGCGCTCTCCGATGAGCTGATCCATGTCCGCCAGCGACCACTTTCTTGTATCGTCGGCGCCAGGATAGAGTGCTCGTACGTCGGCTTTCCAGTCGTTGTAGCTCTTGGCTACGTCGATGAAGGACTCGATGGTTTCCCACAAGTCGGCGACGTCGATCGAAGGGTACCGGACGGCCCACTGTTTCTTGGCTGCTTCGTCGGTAATCTGACACCGGGTGAACAACGCTTCGAGGTCCTGGAAGTAACGCCGAAGCGAATGGACTTCTGATGGGTCGAAGCTTGGTGCTGTCGAATGACCGCGCGGGGGCATCAACGGGGTGTTCGTGTTCTGACTCATGTTCGTAGTGTTGGTAGGAGCTGGGCTCGAAGAGGATGCGGTGGTAGTCGAAGGAATCGTAGGTGCGGGCAGTGCGGGGTTGGAGTTCGAAGCTGCGTTCGAAGGTGCTAATGGTGGCGGAGGTGCCAGTTCGGATGTAGGTATGACTGAGAGCCGCGAAGAGGATGCAATGGGCGGCTGAGCGTGGGCGCGAAACGAAGACGGAGTCGGAAGTACAAGATTCGAAGTAGCTCGGATGGGATCCTCGGGTTCGGGCGAAGAACCGGATCGTTCGAAAAGTTCAGGAGTCGAGATGTCGTAGTCGGAAGTAGTGAGGCCTAGAAGCTCGGGGGACGAAGTGCG